CATTTTTGAGAGAGGACCCAGTGGTATGGCTCCCTCCACTGAGACACTCTCATGGTCCTATACCATCCCATCCCACCCCTCCCTATGCCAGAGTTTGAGAAGAGAAGGGGAGGTCTAAGCTTTGGTGTCAGGGCAGAGTGCCAGGTAAGGGAGAACCCTAGGTGTTCTGGAGGGGAGGTATGGGAGTATGGTCAGGAGCTGAGTGGGGGGAGTCTGATGAGGGGAAAGATGGCTAGTTTTGCAGAGCTCATTACCGGGGCTGAGGGGTGAGGAGAGAGTGGAGGGGGTGACAGTAAAGACAAAAGAAAGTCGGGGTGCTGTCTCCATCTCCAGTCCCATGGAAGGAATGAAGCAACAATCCAAAAATTTGAGTGTCCTGGCTCTAGGCCTGTCTCTCCTCTGTGGCCGCAGCAGGGGGCACTGCAGCCCCTCTGAGGGTAAGAGGGCTAACTCCCCCCACCCCCACCCCTAACCTTAGACCCAGGCCCAGTGCTGGCCAAGACCCCCCAGCTGGGTCATGCTCATCCCCCCAGACTCCATCCCTAAACAGTCCCCAGGGCATGAAGCCATGGCTGGAGGACACAGGAAGCCATGGAGGGAAAAAAATGGTTTATTTAGTCAGAGAGCCTCTGAAGGTACCTGGTTTGTTGAGTATAAAAAAGGCAGTAAAATGGCAACTGTATAGGGTACATGATGGGTGGGAACAAGGCAGGGGAAGCAGGAGAGGGACAAGGAGAGGTTGGAGGAAGAGGGACAGGGGGATAAGGAGGGATTGCAAATGATAGACTGGACCTTAGAAGAGACAGTCCTAGCCCCTAGTACAGGCAACACAAACACCCCAGTACAGGCAACACAAACACACACAGACACACACACACACACTGAGCCTAGGAACCTCCGTTGTCCCGCTCAATCAAGGATCAGTAAGATCCAAGTGTGGGGGTTTCTAGCATATGCAGAGAATGTGTCCTCTTCCTCAACTCTGACCCTCAGACCCACAATGTTTCCCCACTGTCTATCCAGAGGCTCCCTCCTCAGGGCCTGGACACCAGGGCCTACCACAGGCCATGAAAAAGCAGAAGTTGGCTAGAAGAGAAAACCTACAGCCCGCCCCTGCCCATCTCTGCAGAAGGAAGGGGCAGGAGCAGATAGCTGGTGCAGTCCTCTGTTCATCAATGGTCACACAATTGCCCGGAACAGGAAGGAGAAGACAGCCCCCAGTGCCAGGCCAAGAGACAGAAAGAAGGCCATGATGGTTCCAGCTGTCTCTGCCTCAGCCGGCTTCACTTTCCTAGAGAGGCAAGGCTACCTTAGGATGGGCCCTACTCCAGCCCTCCCACCCCCCTAGAGCATCAAGGGTGGGGAGATTTGCCTGAGTACCTAATTCTGTTAGCCAACACATCCTTCTTTCCCAACCCCAATCTGGCTTTTCCCTCTTAGAGAAACACATCCTGGGGTCTGCCCTCCACCTAACCTGAGAGCCCCCTCCCACATCCCTATTAGCTTGTGCACCCCACCCCCGCACTTCCCACAAAAACCCCTTTAGCCTAGGTGCCCCTTCCCAAGCATCTCCTCTCTTAGCCTGGAAACCTTAAGCTCCAGGATCAGAGAGTCTCCTTTTACCCTCTCTCCGTCTATCAAATATCCCCTGCTGGAACTCTAGATCCTGCCTGATGCCTCTGGGTTCCCCACTCACTTGGGCCCGAAGCACATGCAGAGACTGGCGAGGTAGCCATTGGAGAAGGCGAAGGCAGCCACGAAGATGATGAACCAGGCATCGTGCTCAAAGACCACAGTCAGGTATCGGCGGGGCTGGACATTGCACAGCAGCAGCAGGGGCACAAACACCAACCGGGCCAGCACCAAGCATGGCAGCAAGAGGCTGTCCTTCCCAGGCTGTAGCGACCAGGCAGTGCCTCAGCTGGGGCTGGCCCCCAGGGCTCCATTTAGTCACTCAGGATCTGAATTGAAACCTCAGAGCCTGGATACCCTAAGGGGTACTGATTGGGAGAGGGTAGAGTAGAACCTTCTGGAATGCTGGAAATGTTCTTCCTCTGGACCTGGCTGGTGATTATGGAGGGAGGGAGGGAGGGGGGGGGGAGGGAGTGTGTGTGTGTGTGTGTGTGTGTTATACTCATTAAGCTATACACTTAAGACTTGTATACCTTACTATAGATCATGTTCTTGGTTTTTAAAAAAGCATGATCCCCTTGCCACCATAGGTTCTTGGTCTCAGGGTGGACTCTTCCCTCTCACAGGAGCTTGATACCCTCTTCCACTTACCCACATGGATATGGCTGTGAGGCTCCGGCCCAGCCAGTCAAAGACATTGAAAGTCAAGAAACAGGAAACGGGAATGAAGTAATCCTCTGGAAGAGGAAGACTACATTAGGGGATGTTTATTAGGTCCGCAGGCAGATTTAACAACCTTGACCCTCACTTGGACTGTTTTTCCAACTGTAAAGTAGAGATGCTTTTAGCCCAAGGAAGGGCAAATGTAACAGAAGAGTCAAGGTGGGGAGATGGCAGCCCAGAGTCCCCTCTTCCCCAACCCCAGTCCAGCTCAAGTCCCTGTCTGTCTCCATCCTGGGAACCTACGGTGTCCTTACCCCAGGTACTGGTGCCTGCAATGCTGGACTTGACCTCAGCGGTCACAGCAGGAAACACCCCAATGGTGACCGTAAAGATGAAGCAGACGGAGAGAGCCGGGACCAAGATCTGGAGGAAAGGAACCCAGGCCCATGTCTTCATGGTGGCCGTGCATTGAAGAACCATGAATACACACACGCACGCACGCACGCACGCACAAACAAGAATCCATGTGCATTGAAGAACCATGAATACACGCACGCACGCACGCACGCACGCACGCACAAACAAGAATCCAGGAGAGTAGCCAGTCTCAGGTCAGAAAGGGATGGGATGGACAATGTCAGGGGGGTTGGGATGAGGAGAGAGAGAGGCTGAGAGGTAGAGGGCAGGACACCCATGCCCCATGCCCCATGCCCCACGCACATTTTTGAGGATGGCTAGGATTGAGTGGCTTTTGTTGGTGGTCTGAGAGTTGGGGGCTGAAACTCCAGGCTCCTCTTTGCCTGCTCTTGGCTGTTCTCCTGGAGGGTGACAGGTTGTGGAAGGATCTTCAAGTTGCAGGAAAGACAGAGCAACAGAAAATGACACACATATCCCCCAAAAGGGCTGGAATTAGTTGGGGGTAGACACCCCTTAGAGTGTATAGCCATATCCTAAAACCTAGCCCAGACCTTCTCTAAATCCCCATAGCACCAGTCCTTACGTCCTGACCTCTCCCGGGAGCCTCAGCTCATGTTTGACCTTGTCTGAGAATCCGAAATTGCTTCCCACTGTCCTCAGGTATTCAGGGTAATCCAGGATCTCCCCCCAACTTTATTTTTCCCAACCCTTATTTCCCATTGTCCCCCTCACTCCACCTGTGGTCCCTCTGGCCTCTGGCTCATTTCTGCCAGCTAACAATATACTGGTTTCTGCCCTCTGAGCTCAGCTGTCCCCTGCCAGGAGGCTGTCCTCCACCCGGCTTCCTCAGGCTATTCAGACCTTTACTAATGAGGTCCAACTTGGTCTCCTGTTCCCCAGGCCCTTCGAGCTTGAGCTGCTGATAGTAGCGGTAGAATGCCTATAAAGTGAGGGAGACGGGAGGTGGATTCAGAGGTGGTATCTCCCGAACCCCTGCGTCCCCCCACAGGTTTCAGCCTCAGAACACCCTTGGTCTGGAACCCTAGACGCACCGCCCCCTGCTCCCCCCCAGCCTCCAAACCCCTGCTTTCTTCTTTTGCTCACCAGCCGGGACAGGCCCAGGTAACAGATGATAGCCAAAACAATGACCCCACAGGCTGTGATAAAATAGCCGAAGGCGCTTTCTGAGAGTTCTGAGCCACCTGGGGGTGGAGGGTGTCTGTGATGAGACAGGCCCCACCCCCATCTCTCCACAAAAACCAGAGCAACAGGCAGAGAGACAGCAAGACTTACTGGCAATGGCACAGATCATGGCCACTGAGGCGAAGATGCCTGCCAGGCCCTGGCCACTCATGATGGGGGCCGTGTAGTTAGCAGGCAGGAGGCCAGCCAGGCCAAACAGGCTGCCCTGCAGGATGGCACCAAATGCTGGGGGAACAAGGCAGGCATTAGCAGGGGAGGGGGCAGGCTGGGGTTCATGGGAACACATGTAACTCCTTCTTTCCTCCCAGTGAGTCTTTGACACTCAGTGGCCCTTCTCTCTGCCCAGACTCTCAGCCCTGGTCTCTGCCTGCTCAGGCCTCTGAACCCTAACTGCCCACAGCATCCATTTCCTCTGGGAATGGCTGCCTGTGGGTCTGAAAGAAGGGTGGGGGTATGTGAAAAAGTCTTTGCCCCAGATCCCCTCCCAGCCCTGCTTACAATTAATGAGCATGATCTTGATCATGGTGATGATGAAGAAGGGCAGGGCATCCAGGTGCACCTTCACCAGAATAGCAGTGATCAGGAACACCAGCAGGATAGCCACCAGGCTACCCAGGATCCGAACAGACTGGGAGATCCTGCAGGAGAGGACGAGGCGGCAGAGAAGAGTGGTTAAAGCAGGGGCTCAGCCCAGGGCACATGGGAGGCAGCCGAGGGTCAGGCTGGTTCTGGTGCTCACTTCTGATGCAGGAAGGAGTTGAGGCAGGTGAAGAGCAGCAGGGGCAACATGGCACACAGGGTCATGACATTGTTGAAAATGGCACTCAGAGAATTCCGCTTTGGAGAGGGTGCTGTGGTGGTGGCCAAGGCCTGGATATCCCTGCTCGGTTCAGTAGAGGACATGTTCTGATACTGGTCCAGGCGGTGTGTGAAGTACTATGGGGGATGCAGAGAAGTGTTGGAACCTCTCTCCCTGTGCCCACAAGTACAGATGCAGGCCTTACATGCCCAGTGGTCATACCCCCCGGGGCCCAGTCCCCTCGGTCTCACCTGAGTGGCTGTCATAAAAAAATTCCAGGGGAGCAGGGTCCCCAGACCCAGCATGAAGAAGATAAGCCAGACGGCTTTGTACCTGCAGATGGGAAAGGGAAGAGGGACCAAGTGACGCACCATCCTACCCTCCTCCCCAGATCAAACCTGGGGAAGCTCGTCCCTCCCTGACTTTTATTCTCTCCGGCTGTCCCAGGGTACAGGGCATCTGTGTTTGTGTCCATGTGCATGTGTCCTCCTATGGGTGTGTGCAGAGGGGGAGGTGTCCTGGGATATGGAAAAGGGCCCAGTGGAGTCCAGAGCGGGAGGCGGACCAGGGACACAGGGCTGAAGGGCATGACCGCAGGACGGTGGTTCTCAGCCCCCAAAGACTCAGGGGAGCTTGCAGCCTTGGGAACCAGTGTGACCCACACATCCGGAGGTAGTTTTAGAAATCCTGCTAAAGGCTGGGGGTGGTGGGTGAGTGAGAAAGCAAATAGCAAGTGTCTTCCACCCCCGCCAGGAAGGCTGGAAGTGATTATGATTATGCAGTCTGGGCAGCGACTGTGTGGCTCCCCAAAGAGGATTCTGAGGTCAAGAAACTCCCAGACTATTCCAGACCTAGTGGGATAGGCAGGCGGGGTGCCTTTGGGCAGCTGGTAAGTGAAAGCTGTTTTTTCCGGGCCCAGACAGAACCGGCTTTGTAGGTCACACCGCCTAGGGTAGGCCAAGAGGTATCAGGCCACTGGACGTCACCCGGGCCCCAGAGTGTAAATAAGTGCCACCCCAGCTTTGGCCAGGGCACGGCCCCAAGCCCTATACCTCAGGGCCTGTCTAGGATGGGCCAGCTTCCCCCAGGCAGCCCTAGACCCTCCCACTGTGGTCTCAAGATGTGTCAACCATATCCTCCCAACCAACATCTGCTTTCTCAGAGAGACAAAGACAAAGCCCAAAGCAGTGAGACTAGGGCCTGACCTCACACAGGGAGGGCCTGGGTGAACACACCAACTGCGCAGGTCTGAGCCATTATAACTGTTATCTCCCCAATTCTCTCATATCCTCCCCACCTTGGAAAAGAGAGCTAAGGGTTTGATTCAGAGACCCAGGATGAAGGGAGAAACTCCCAGCCAAGGTCACACGGGATAGAGGGGTGAGAGTGGAGGCTGCATGAGTGCAACAGGTGACGGCAATGGAGAGGGGCTCAGAGAACGGCTGGGAGTGGTGAGGTTGAGACGGGGCAGGCAGGCAGCCTCGGAGTGGAGACGAGGGTAGGAGCCAACCTGGAGCCTGTACACCTTAAATTCTGTCTCCTTACATTCTCTCCCTCCAAATAAACCTCGCCTCTATTTTACAGATGGAAAACAATCTTGGAGAGATTAAACTAAGTGCCTAAGGTCCCACAGCCAGAAGCGGTCTAGTTCTCTAGCCTTTGGCATAGGAAGGAGACAGAATGAGCAGGGAGAGGTGATGGGGTCAGGGGCCTGAGTCGAAGAGCTTTGGATCTGAGGCATGACTCCGTCACCTTCCTTGGGTCCTAGACTCCTTGGAGAACTTGAATCAAGCTACAGCCTCTTACCCTAAAACACATATGTACAATCACAGTTATGGGTCTAACTTGAGGCAGTTCACAGGCTCCAGAGGTGGGGAAGTGAGAGGTCAGAGCAAGGACTGGGGTGGGAAGAGGTCATCTAAGGCAGAGGCAGCCCTGAGGGACGGGTAGTCCCGCCAGATGCGCTCTGGGATGAGGGGTGCTGACAAATATCTCCCCACGGTGATGGTGGGAGGAGCTGGAAGCTTCTGGCTGGCCAGAAAGCAACAGTGGAAATACTGACAAGGCTGGGGAGGGGCTGCCACCCACCCATCTTTGCCCTCCCCACAGAAACCCCAGCCAGCAGCCAGCCAAGGCATGCATAGCCCCCACCCCAGATGCAGACCTGACTCACAGCTACCTGGCTAGAAGGCCAGTTAGCAGTGACAACTCCAAATTCCAAAGGATACCACACCCAGCCCCCTGGAGACCCATTTCACTCCCCTGGGTCTCCAACCCAGGTCCCCCAGTACCTGTCCTGAGGCTGGTGACTGGTTGTCATGGTGACAGCGTTCTTGGTTTTGCTTGGCTGACAGCTCCCTTCTTCTGAGGCTTGCTGGGGGCAGAAGCAGTGCGAGGCCTTGTCTTCGCCCTGTTTCCCCACAGGCCTCTTCAGACTCTTTGGGGCCAGGACCGGGTAAGGCAGGCTGAGCTGGCAAGCCTTACAATCCAGCAGGACCCTCTATCGGCCCTGCCTCTCAGGACTGCTCAATCTGACCCCTCTGGGCAATCCTGTTGGGCCCCCCTGCCTGCTCAGGCTCTACCTGGCGCCAGGCCTGGCCTGGCTGCTGCCATCGCTATTTTTATCTAGCAGCGAAGCAGTTTGTAAGCTGGGAAACCAGCGGGTGGAGAGCAGGAGGGAAGGAGGAGGACTCTGACTGAGAGGGAGAGAAAGACAGGCAAAGGCAAGGAAGATGAGAGGGGTCAGGGACAGTGACAACTATGGAAGGAGGGAGAGGAGGAGGGAAACAGAAAAGAGATAGAGCAGAGAGGGAGAGGTGGGGGGAGGAGGGAGGCACAAAACAAACAGATCTGTAGTAGCAGCAGCCACAGGGATCAGTGATGACTGAGGCCAAGCCAGAGAGGCCTCCCCCTCCAGGACCTCTCTGCAAATCTGACCTCTCCGCCCTCCCAGGGAGCCCTTGGACTCATGGCTATAGTGGGCTCTAGAGAGCCTGTTCCCTCCTAGAGGCACCTCAGACTCCAGCCCCTCTGCTGGTGGCACTTCAACCTTCCTTTCCAGCTACTGCCCAGGGGCTTCCTAGTCCTAGCCAGTTTTCCAGGAAAATACTTTCCGATAGGTATGGGACACAGCCCTTTCCACAACCTAGACTGGCCTCGCCCCTGACCCTTAGTCCTGGTCCCAGCGGTACCCCATCCCCCCTTGGTTCCTCTCTAACT